TGTTGAAGGGTAGACATAGGGATCATTCGGGTTTAGATGATTAGGAGTAAGCACTTGGTAACCAGTGGGTAGTCAAGGTTTTATTCATGTATGCATTTGTTGGTCCTTACCTTTAGCATTCTCCCTAAAGCTCAATCCATTCATTGAGAGATATTGAGAGATCCTTGTCCTAAAATTGTTTAAACCCTCTTGATTCTCAAAACCTTTTTCTGCCTAGCCAAGTGAGTTTGTTAAGCCTTGCACAACCAGATTCATATACTTGAGTAATGAATGTTAAAAGGAATGAATGATTTGAATGCATGTGTAGATCAAGGGATAGAATCAGTTTCGGATTTGATGAGTTTGTCTAAAGTCTTTAAGTAAAGTTCTCTCAGCATGCATCAAAGACTTAGCATCCAGGACATTGATTTTAACTGCTCTATCTTGCAACTTACAGGTTCTGAGACCCCATTTTCAAACCTCTCTTCCACTTTGTTTCTTTTTGCTTTGCTTTAGGGCAAGCAAAGACTAAGTTTGGGGGAGTTGATAAGTATGTATTTCATCACTTTTTGAGCATGTATTCATCATCTTTTCAGCATCATTCACTTGTTGATTCGAATCATATTGATCACTTCCTGCATGTTTTACATACTTAGGTAGGTTTTATGCATATCATGCATGTCTTGCATACATTCTGCATATTTGGAGTGTTTCAGGTACTTAGGAGACATGCAGAGCGAAGCAGGGGAAAAGCGTTACTCGACAAGCATATGATCGAGTGGGACGATCGAGTGAGAAGCAAGGATGCATCGCAGGAACATACTTCACTCGATGGACGTGATCGAGTAGCGGATCGAGTAGGGAGATCGAGTAGGGCGAGCGAGTAGCGGATCGAGCATATGATCGAGTGATCGAGTGAACCGAAGGAATGTGAAACAACTGTCACTCGACGTGTACACTCGAGTGACCCGATCGAGCAAAGCAGAGAAGAGGCTCACTCGAGATGCTCACTCAACCAACTTATTCACAACAACTTCTCTCTCTTGGTTTTGATTAATGGTGCGGATTATGGATACATTAAACCAGAAAGGGGAATACGCCAAGGTGATCCGTTGTCACCATTTCTATTTATTCTATGTGCTGAAGATTTAGTACATATTATGAATAAAGCTGAGCAAGAAGGGAGGCTTACAGGTATGCGTCTCACGCCGGAATGCCCATCCATACAACACTTGCTTTTTGCTGAGGACAGCTTATTTTTTTTTCATGCGAATTTGAAGGAGTGTGCTGCGTTTTTGCGTTGTTTGATAGTGTATGATAAAGCCTCAGGCCAAGTTATTAATTTCAGAGTGTCCGCCCTTTCTTTCAAGTGGGCCACTTTTTTTCCCGAACGCTGAAGTCGTCTATAACATTTGGGAAGAAGATGGACCCATATATGAGACGTGTTATAGGCTCATTCACTGGAATAGAACAAGTTTGCTGAATCAGAGTGTCTTGTGAGTCACATTTATGTAGCTGTTGAGGTTTTGGTTTTGTTTTCAGATGGGTAATGAAGATACCCTAAACATGAAGATGATTATGTCAATGGGGATGAGATGCTAGATCAAGATACTAATTTGGATGAAAAGGATCATGTAGTAGTAGATCCAGTAGCACCACATAACAAGAGAAGAGGTAAACATAAAAGGTCAAAGTGTTGGAAAATTTTTGAAATTGTTGGAGTTATCTAATGGTAGTAACAATGTTGAATGCACCAAATGAGGTCTTGTTTATTGCATAAACCTGCGTAGAAGTGGCACTACTACTATGTTCCTGCACATGCAGCTATTCTCCAATACAATGGGAAGCACTCCATCATGTGGCAACACAAAACTAGATATGATGGTGTTCCAGGAAATGATAGGATTACCAACAATTGAGCATGCTTTACCTTTCTCTTTTGTTGAGTATATAAGACTAAGAGAGGCTTTTCTCTATGCTAGTTCTAATATAGAGTTTTGGAGTAAAAACACCAGCAGTAACAGGTTGTCTTAAGATTTATTAGAAAAAGAAACTGAAGCTAAAGAAGACCTTATATGAGATTCCGAGGAGAGTTTGTTTAACTACAGATCTATGGAGAGTTGTGACAATAGAGGGGTATATGTGCTTGACGACACATTAAATTGACAGTGATTGGAAACTGCCGACGAAGATTCTCTCTTTTTGAGTGGGGATTAGAAAAAAAAGTCTTCACAATCATAGTGGATAATGCCTCATCTAATGACATTATGCAGGAATTTTGAAGAGACAACTTAGAAAAAAATTTGTGTGCAACGGAGAGTTTTTTCGCATTCGTTGTGTTTCTCATATCCTGAACTTAATTAAGCAAAAAGGCTTAGAAGTGATTGATGGTGATTTGAAGAAAATCAGAGAGACAGTGTTAAGTTTGTCAAGGTGAGTGAGACTAGGGAACATTCCTTCCAAATATTTGTAGATACTGTGGGAATTGAATCAAAGGCTGGACTGCTTTTAGATGTATCTATTAGGTGGAATTCAACTCATCTTATGGTCTCAAGGGCCATTATGTATACGGAATCATTTCGTCATATTTCATAGATAGATACAAGCTATAAAGCTCTTCCACCAAATGTAGAGTGGACAAGAGCTGAGTTGATCTTTGAGTTCTTGAGACCATTTGTAGAGATACAATTTGATCTTCGGTTCATCATATCCTACTGGAAATTTGTATTTTAATCAAGTATGGTAGATTGAACTGTGGTTAAAAACTCATGAAGACTATGGTGATGATGTAATATATGAGATGGTGAAAGTTTACTTTTCTAGAGTATTGTTTCAAGGCCTTAGATGCATCAACTAGTAAATCAAGGGTCGACAATGTGCGTAAGAAGTTGAAGAAGCTCTTTGATGTGTATAAGAAGAACCCAAATAAACGATATCAGGAACTTCAAAAATCAAACACAGTAGAGCAAGACATTCTTCCAGGAAATGGAATAAGTTTAATGTTTTTCACGTGTATTTAAAACTGTACTTTGGTCTGTTTTAAAACTATTTTAGACTTGATCTTGGTCTATTTTAGAAGTTATCTTTCTTAGGTATGTTTTAACACTGCTATTAGCAGAGCCTTCCATGAGGCCAAGCAAGCAAAGCAAAGGCTTGCGGCCGACCATAATAAATTTTAAATTCGGCCTTTTTGGCAGAGAGGTTACATTGGTCTAGTAGCTTTAAGTTTAGTAATTATGTAACTTGTACTTGAGTTCGAATCTAGCCAACAGCATGAGCACATATTTTTTTCTTTTTTAAAACAAACAAATCTTAAACAACAAAATTACACAGCCCATTTACTTCCTTTGGCTTCTAGCCTTGTCGAACTCATGGACGGCTCTGGCTATTAGGTCTGTTTTAAAACTGCTATTTGGTCAGTTTTAAAACTGCTCTTTGGTCTGTTTTAGAACTATTTTAGACTTGATCTTTGGTCAGTTTTAGAACTGCTCTTAGGATCTGTTTTAGAACTGCTCTTATGCATTGTTTGTTATATGTTGGCTTATCATACATGGATACTTTGCTTACTTCTCCCAAATAGCTGGTAGTAGTGAAATATCAACATTAGATAAGTACTTGGATGAGCCGGCTTTGAACATGATGGCATTTAAGAGCATGAATGTTTTGGAATATTGGAGGGACAATGCAAACCGATTTAAGAAGTTATCTTCTATGGCTAGTGACATTCTTAGCATTCCTATTACTACTGGGGCTTCAAAATCATCTTTCAGCATAGGAAGCCAAGTCCTAAGCAAGTATCGGAGTTCACTCCTTCCATCTAATGTGCAAGCTTTGATATGTGCAAGAAATTGGTTTGAAGGATTTGAAGAGATTGTTCTGTTTGAGTTCATCGAAGAAGACAATGAAGAAGGAGGTTGAGAGACACTTTTAAACTGGTATCTCATTAGAATATTCTCTTATTAGGTGCGATATTTGTTTAGTTAAAATGCCAAGAAATCAGAAGTGTATCTGGTTTGTTAACATTTTAGGGTTTGTTAACATTTTTTGGTTTATTCAGCTTTCAACTTTGTGCATATAATGGCGATGAAATAAATGGGATTAATGTAAGGTAAGATTTTGTGGTTATTGTTTTGATTTTTGTCCTATCTCGATTGTATGGTAAAAAAATCAAAGTAGTTGTATATCTTTTACAAATTTAAGCCTTATAATTTCAAAAATTAAAGAAAAAACAAGGAGTTATGATTGCAAATTAAACAAAATAAAAGGATATAACACAATAGGTACTTCAACAATGATAAATTAGATTTGATTAAGCACCTCATTGGAGGTGGTGCTCTTATAGTTTACATTTCCAACCTAAAAATATACTTTTCTACCCTTTATTTTTGGGCCAAAATATAATGTTCTACTTAAAACAATACTTTAATTCTAAAAACTGTGGTCATTCAAAAGCTTCGATCAATAAAAACTCTAATTTATGCTTTTGTAAACAACATGTGATGTGAGATAGCCAAAGTTTCTAGATTTCTAATAATTTCAGCGACGAGGGACAGTGATACTTGTGTTTGTTCTCACAAAACTTAAACATATATGCTCAAAAATAAAAAAGAATCTTCTAAGATTGAACAAGATCGGTTAGCTAAACACATTCAAAATTTTAGGACCCAGTCTAAATTAGACAACCAATGACTTATACATTCATATATTAATATCTCGTTTCTAACGTAACATATATTAATAATGTATCTAGATATCAATTTGATTCGATCCACTATTTTAGAAAAAAAAAACAATCTATTAAATATAAGCATGCATAAAATGCATTACAAAATTGAGACTACTAATTTATATATAGTACCATAAATTGTAAAATTAGTATATAGGGTTGAACCATCCACTAAGTAAGCAACAATATTATAATATATAGAGTATATATAAAATAGTTGGCAATAATTGAACTAAGCTTGTATATAACATGTAATATAATAGAAACTTGTTTCTCAAACCATAAAGACATTACTTTTTTCTTATCATTCAAAGATCTGATCCATGGCGATACCTCACGCCCAACTTGTTCTTTTACTCCTCACATCATCACTCTTTTTCTTACCTGCTTTGCATGCCAGTGCTATCGATTTTGGAAACTGCAAAGGTAAGTATCGGTTTGTTAAGTCATATAGTATTATGTATATACTTGTATGAAATTCGTAGATTGTAGTTTGCTCCTATCTCTGTTTCTTTTGTTGTATTACCAAGTAAACCCTAAACCGAAACTCACATTAGTCATCAGTTATATAAATCAAACGTTTATATAGAAATAAGAGAACAGTAAAGAACTTCAATTCCATCTATAAAATATCTCAATAATATTGAAGTTTCAGTGAAGACTATACATTAGTTTTTCTCTTCAATGTGATTTTCAAGATCTGTGGTGTATATGAGTCAAGAATCGAGAATTATAACTACTAGATTGCAGATCCAGAGACCATCTAAAATTTCAAAGATAGATCAAACTAATTTGAAATTTGAACAAAAATTAGTATAGAATTATCTTTTGTTAAGTCTATAAATATATATTTTTTTAAACACCTAACCTTATCAGTTGATTTACCAATGTCTCCACAAAACAAAAACGGATAGTGGGTTAGAAGTTCTCACCTCTGTTGTCTTCTCACCAGATCCGGGTTCAAGTTCGGTCTCTCTCAAAGAAAAACTTATAATTTGTCATGATGTAAAATAAAAATAAAAAAAAAATAAGACATTTCAAACTTAAGTCGATATGTTCTAAATTATAAAATGTTTAGCTAAAACCACAAAGATTATAAAAATTGTTTAAAATAAATAAATATTATTTAATAATTAACTAAAATTAAATTTAATCATAAAAAGGACTGCAGAAGTTATAAAGAGTTACAATACCAAAAAAAACATTAAAAAATCTTATCTATAAATTTCTGAAAAATCTTATAAAAGAGAAATCCTAAATGCCACTCAAACTGACAATTTTCCCAAAAACGTATTTACGTGCACATGACTCACTCATTTATTTTATTTTATTTTAAAACAAAACATTTACCTGCACATGACTAACTCATTTTTACTCATTTTTGAAAAAAGAATAAAATTTATCTGCAACTCACTCATTTTTTTTTCCTGGTCAAACACCAAATTTTCTTTTTGTCCATGACTCACAATTTTCTTTTTGTCCATGATCTAAATATCTGCGATTAAAGATGCAAACATTGACTACGTCTTTGGCATCACAAACGTCACACAAGTGGAGATTTCTCCATACCCTGTTGGGCCTAACGACGAGCCAACCATTACGATATCCGGCTTTACAAGTGACGATAGTACGTAACATTTTCTATTTTTCAATTTTGATTATTTTTAGTTTTCCACTATGTTCTCCTATAAGAAAGTATATTTTTGTATACAGGCTTCATCATATATAACGCAACTATACATGTGTTGTATAAATATGAAAATGTGACAAGCACTATAAGAAAATACAGCCTCAGTGATGTTATAGATGAAGATCCAGGCTCTATTGAACCTGGCGAAAATTTTGTGTTAACTCTTTCCAAAGTCCCTGGTTTGCAATCACTCCCACATGTAAGTACTTTTATATAATATCATTAATTTCATAACTAAGATTGTGATTGTTTCTTTACTATATATAGGAAAATTTACGGTAAAAACTTTATGAATTAATAACATCGACATTATGATAGATTATTAATTTATAAAATTACAATTTATCTATATATAAATTGAATCGACAAATAATTAGGATCGAAAAAATATAATGATTTATTTAAGTATTAGTTTGTAGAAGTCATATTGTTATATTTTCATCATGCCAATGCTAGTTTATGATTAGTTACTCTCTTTATCTAGTCTATGTTTCGATATCAAAACCGAAATTAGAAAGTTTATGTTTCGTTTAGTAATTGAAAATCCCAAATGGAAATCGAAGTGAGCTTAACTTTAATTCTTTTTTAAACCAATCAAAATGTACCAAAACAATATCGACTTGTTAATTTGGTTTTACTTTCATGATTAAACCGAACAATCTAAAACCCCTAAAACCCACAATAGTATATTTACTTGGTTAGCCTGACTGGATTTTTTGTTTTTAAACTAATTAGAAAGATAAGTCCAAGATCGTCGTATCCCTTGTTGATGAATATGGTGATGATGATGAAGCGCCACTGCTAAAAATGTGCGTTGAGTTCGATAACCCTGCTCCAGCTACAACTGCAACATTGTTCTCTGCTTAATTATTGGATGTTCTCTTTTCTTGTTGTCCAACAAATAAAAGAAATAGTGAATATTTATATGATTCTCGCATTAATTAGTCACTACAAGAAAGCAGGTCGAAATCCTACGAAAATTCCTTCAAATATATTGGTAGGAAAAACTACCTACGGTAAACTTCGCATTTATGACGAAGATGAAGTGTGGTAGGAAAAAGGAAGAGATATTTACTACGAGAATATGTGTCAGAAAGTAGAAGGAAAATTTCCTACCAAATTCTTTTAGTTAATAGTTTTGTAGGAAACCGTGAAGGAATAAAGAAGGGAAAAAGAAGGAAAACGCGCGGAGAGAAATTAGTAGGAAACTTTCCTTCTAAATACCTTTGCCATCAATATGGAAGGAAACGTCGTAGGAAACTTTATATAAAAAACTTTCTAACATATTTGGTAGAAATTAACTACAGCACAAATCGGCTATGTTTTTTAATCGCAAACACCTCCTTGTAATGTAGCAACTTGCTTCAACAATATTACGTTTTTTAACTAAATTTCATATATATGAACTTTTTTTTGGTGAGAATGTCATATATATGAACTTGACACCATATTTGGTCTTCTCGTCGGTGTTATAAGCATTTGAAGATAGAATACTAAATTTGGTGTCATGTTCGTATGACATAGTCTAGTAAAGAATAAAAATGGATAGCATTGTTAGTTTGTTTTTCATATAAAATGACTTGAAAGTTGAAACATGTTCCTGATACATGACAATAGAAAATGGACTTTGCTAATTTTAGAACATAAAATGATGAATATCGTTTATAAAATTCTTTGTTTTAAAATGCTGAATATAAAATCATATATATAAAAGTAAGGTTCCACTCTCTCCTTATTGGCGGAAAAACATTTAAGGCTTTCATTTTTTTTTAAATAAATAAATATTTATTAAAATCATTCAATACAAAATTTAATTACACTATAAGTTATAATCAAATGGCAAAGAAAATGAAAAGACTTAATCATATATCATTCAACAAAATAAATAAATAAATAAATGTTTATGACAATCATTCAATACAAAATTTAATTACACTATAAGTTATAATCAAATGGCAAAGAAAATGAAAGGACTTAATCATATATCATACAACAAATTTTATAAGCCTTATTGGTGGAAAATTATTTAAAATCATATATATAAAAGTAAGGTTCCACTCTCTTTATTGTTCCATTTTGTATTTATTTTTTAAAATATAATATTTATTTTTAACCAAAAAAACACATTTAATCATATACATTAATTCATACTTTAAATTCACACTTTACTACTAAAATGAAACTGAAAATTATATAAATTTCCAAAGACTATTGGTTTTCTTTATTGAATTCCAATTAAACACACTATAAGTTATAATTATAACTCCTCTAATTTAATTATTTTAAAAATGTAACTTACATCACTTCTTATCATATAAATAGTCATTCTCACATCCTTCTCTACCATATCTCATATCTTCATTATTCTCTTTGTTTTTTTTTTTTAAGTTCTTGCATGGGGTGAAAACTCATTTAAAATATCATTGTAAGAGTTTGATTAATTATTTAGTTTAAACTTTTGTTTTCAATTTTATTTATTTTTTGTTTTTATTTATTTTTTTATGTCTTCATTGTTTTTTATATTCTAAATGTAATACATATGTATAATAATATTTTATGGTTATAAGAAAATCAAGCTAAAGAAACCATCTTCATTCTTTTACATTGGATGTTTGTTTCTTTCTCACATATTCATGTATATTTAATTTATTTTCAAAAGTATGTAATTTTTTAACAAAATAAACTTTTTGTTATATAATTATCAACCCAATTTGTAAGACATTATTTTAAGAATAATGATCCTTATATTTAGTTTGTGATTCAACATGTAATAATACAAAGAACATTATAATTTGATTTATGGTTTGGGTAGTTATATATGTTTATTTCTTGGGAATTTTTAAGGTTTCACTCTCTCCTTATTGGTCCATTTAGCATTTATTTTTTAATTATAATATTTATTTTTAATTAAACCAAATATCTAACACATTTAGTCATATACTTTAATTCATACTTGAAATCCACACTTTACTATTAAATTGTAACTTAAATTATATAACCTTTCATTTTTTACATATACTGACCCAAGAAACTTTCTCTCTCGATGATGGCGGCGGCGACGAACCCTACGGTTTGATTTGTTCATGTGTGGGGAGGTTTCGATCGGATTAATTCATGGGTTTGATGCGGTTAGTTTCTCGGGCTATTATGGAAAACAGATCGGGAGAGAGTGTGGATGCAGATTTGAGATTAAAGGCTGGCGATTGGAAATTGATTCAATCTGGGTATCGGATTGGAGGGCGAACCAGGTTTCCTTATCTTCTACAAGGCAAAGATCTTCTTTCTATGGGGAGGGAGTAATCTGGGAGTTATTATGGAGTGGGTTATGCCGGATTCTCTTGATTTCAATTCTCGGATCCATGGGGATACTGCGGTGGCTAATTGATTCGATCTGGGCTGATTTGGGGTGGATTCGGATCGATTTTTGGAAGGTGTATTTGGTTAGTCGGATCAGATTGGTGGTGGATGCAAGGCAAATCCATGTGTATAAAGGGAGGGGAAAGCATCGTCTCCAGTACTCATCCGGTCTCATCTTCTCTGTTTTGCGATTTCATATTCTTTGCTTCTCTTTCTCTCGGTTTCTTCTGTTAACTATCTCGATGACTCAGTCCGATCTGATCAAGGGTAATGGGTCCAGTGGGAAGGCGTCCACGTCCGGTTTGAAGCGGAAGGTGAAAGTTCCGCTCTTTGATAACTCCTCGCTTATTGAGGGCTATGCTAAGACGGTTATTGGGAGATGTATGAACCCGAGGAAACAGGATATGAAATATCTTCTGTTCATGTTTCCCCGGATTTGGCAATTGGAGGGGAGAGTGGTTGGAGCTGACTTGGGCCTGGGGCGTTTCCAGTTTGACTTCGAGACGGAGGAAGATATCCTGGAGGTTCTGAAGATGGAGCCGGTGCACTTCGATCACTGGATGGTGTCTCTGGTCCGATGGGAGCCCTCTGTCGACCCAGCCTATCCGTCCGCTATCACCTTCTGGATTAGGGTGCTTGGTATCCCTCTTCAGTTCTGGGCTGACCCCACTTTCCGGTCCATAGGCGAGGAGCTGGGCCAAGTCCAAGAGGTGGACATTGATGGTGGCAGAGTTCGGGTGACGATAGATGGCTTTAAGCCATTGTGTTTTGAGACGGAGGTGGAGTTTGGGAATGGAGAGGAGATTTCGGTTACTCTGCGGTACGAGAGATTATTCGGGTACTGCCGGTTTTGTCACAGTCTGTGCCATGATATCGACCATTGTGCTTCTGTGGATTCAGAGCATCGTCTGCGGGATTTTGATGATGCGCCCGGTGATGGTGATAGGCGTCGGAGCCAAAGCTACAAGGGTGCTGTGGTTCACGATAACAAGAAAGGGTTGGATCCTGAGGGTAAACAACGGGGAAGAGGCAAGGGAAGAGAGGAGGAGGTGGATGCCAAGGCTGAGGGTGCGAGGCATCTTGAGCGATCTCGCTATGATAGCACTCGGGCCCGTTCTGGGTTCTATCATGGGGAACCGTCTGCTAGACCGAGAAGATACAACAACTATGCGTCACTTAATGCGCATAGGAAGTTTGTTACAGATGCGGTTACTAAGGAGGTGACTATGTTGGAGCCTGAGGAGTACGCTGCTAGTAGACCTAAAGCTAAGCAGACAAGGAAAGCCTTGTTTCAAGATGAAGGTGCTGTCCAAGCGGTACTTGAAGCGTCGGTATCAAGTGTGGAGGTGGGTCTGGAGTCCCTGTGTATTTCGGCGGAGGAACCAGTGGCAGTCGAGCCAGCGAATATGATCCTTGAGGAGCAGCCGCCGATGGCCCAAGTGTCATTTGAAGCTCGGCTGGAGTCGGAGATGCACGAGCTAAATGCTGAGGTGGTGAGTGAGGTTGTGGCTGAGAGCGCTGCTGATGGTGAAGTGGACTTCTCGATGGTGGAGGAGGAGAGTGAGCAGTTTCAACAGTCTGAGGTAGTGACAGCTAAAGAGGATATGCTCACAGATGATGTTGATCAAGGTGATGAGATGGTCGAGGGGAGTACAAACGTAGTAGCCCACATCAATGAGGCGGAGCCAAATGCAGAGGGGGCTGGAATGGAGAAGGGGCGCAAGGGCAAAGGGGTGGCTCTATTGGGTGCAAGCTCAAAGAAGAGGATAGCGACCATGCTTAATACTCCCCGCAAGCGTGCTGCACCAAAGTCGTCAGGATCACACGGGGAGGGAAACATGAAGAACCGTGATGGGGATAAAGGAGGCCCGGGTGGACCTAAACCACCTAAACCACCGGTTAATAAATGAAGATATTGAGTTGGAATTGCCAAGGTCTAGGGAATAAGGCTACTATCGGTTATCTTCGGGATTTATGGACTAAGCATAGGCCGGATTTTTTATTTTTGTCGGAAACAAAACAAGTATTTCTTTTTTTAGAACAATTTCAATCTCATTTTGGTTATAATAATTTAATTACGGTTGATCCAATTGGTTGTAGTGGTGGTTTGGCTCTCTTTTATAACAATAATATTTTTAATGTTTCAGTTTTATTCAAGTCCAATAGACTGATTGATGTTGAAACGGTTGTTAATGGGAAAATAGTGCATTTAACGTTTATTTATGGTGATCCGGTCCCTAAGAATCGGGATTTAGTTTGGGAGAGGTTAACAAGGTGGGGTTTAAGTAGAGTTACACCGTGGTTTATTATTGGGGATTTTAATGAGATTACAGGAAATCATGAAAAGAGGGGGGGTTAGCCACGACATGCTTCATCCTTTCTTGATTTTAATGGCATGATTAGGAATTGTGGCTTTCTTGAATTTTCACATATTGGAGACTGGCTATCTTGGCGGGGTTGGCGGGACAAAAAACCAATACGGTGTCGGTTGGATAGAGCTCTTGGTAATGCTGATTGGCATGGAGCCTTTTCGGATACTGTTATAGAATACTTGCCTATGATTGGGTCGGATCACAAACCGGTTTTAGCCCTTGTGTCAGAGAGAAAGTTTAGCCGGAATCGGCGCTTTATATTTGACAAGAGGTGGATTGGAAAGGAAGGTTTGATGGAAACAATTGCTTCAGGGTGGGGAGGACCTACAGATTTAGACTCGGGTTTTTTTGTGAATAAAATTGTTAACTGCAGAAGGGCTATTTCTAAGTGGCGGAAAACACAGGTTCCTTTTGGAAGGGATATTATTGAAGATCTAAAGAGAAAGTTGGAAGTGGCTCAGGCGGACGACACGAGTATACCGGCGGATATCTATGATTTGTCCAGTCGGTTAAGAAATGCTTACAAAGATGAGGAAATATATTGGTACCAAAAAAGTAGGAATCGATGGATGAAGGTTGGGGACCGCAATTCCAAATTCTTTCATGCACAAGCAAAAATGCGACGGGCGCGAAATCGAATCGTGGGTTTGTTTGACAAGGATAACGTTTGGAAGTCTGAAGATAAGGAAATTGGGGATATAGCGGGGGACTATTTTCGGGATTTATTTACAACGAGTGATCCCCAAGGCATTGCGGATGCGCTAACGGATGTTAAATCAGTTATCTCGCCTGAGGTAAATGATAGGTTAACAGTTTTGGCTTCGGAAAAGGAGGTTCATGATGCTCTGTTCATGATGCACCCGGATAAAGCTCCTGGTCCGGATGGTATGACGGCTTTATTTTTTCAACAAGCATGGGGTGTAATTAAGAAGGATTTGGTTGTATTCGTCAATGCTTTTCTGGCAGATGGGGTTTTTGATAAACGGTTAAATAAGACCAACGTTTGTCTGATTCCAAAGGTGGAGCGACCTACTAAGATGGCTGAGTTAAGGCCAATTAGTTTATGCAACGTTGGGTATAAGATTATTTCAAAAGTTCTTTGTGAGAGACTAAAACCGGTCCTTTCTAGTATCATTTCGGAAACTCAGTCTGCATTTGTTGCAGGGAGGCTGATCTCGGATAATATCCTGATTGCTCAGGAAATGTTTCATGGGTTGCGTACCAATGCGTCTTGTAAGAGTAAGTTTATGGCGATCAAAACGGATATGAGTAAGGCTTATGATAGAGTAGAGTGGGTGTTTATTGAAAATCTGTTACGTAAAATGGGTTTCTCGGAAAAATGGATTTCTTGGATTTTATGTTGTGTTTCTACAGTGGAATATAGTGTCTTAATTAATGGATGCCCTAGAGGGTCGATCAAGCCGGGAAGAGGATTACGGCAGGGGGACCCTTTATCCCCATACCTGTTTATCCTGTGTACTGAGGTCTTAATTGCCAAAATTCGAAAGGCGGAACATAATAAGTTACTCACTGGAATAAAGGTGGCGAATAAGGGTCCGCCTATCTCACACCTTTTGTTTGCGGATGATAGCTTATTTTTCTGTCAGGCGAATAAAGAGCAGTGTATGGTTATTCTGGAAATTCTAAAGGAATATGAGGCGATTTCCGGCCAGCAAATAAATTTTGCTAAATCTTCCCTCCAGTTCGGCCACAAAATTGAGGAAAACCTTAGGGTGGAATTACATAATATCCTTGGAATAGCAAATTTGGGTGGTATGGGATCTTATCTTGGTTTACCGGAGAGCTTGGGAGGAGCGAAATCAAAAGTTTTTGCGTTTGTTCGGGATAGATTAAATAATCATATCAATGGTTGGTCAGCTAAGCTGCTTTCAAAGGGAGGGAAAGAAGTGCTGATTAAGTCGGTGGCATCTGCTTTGCCTACGTATGTGATGTCGTGTTTTCGGCTACCGAAAACAATAACATCAAAACTAACCAGCGCGGTAGCAAATTACTGGTGGAGTACGAACGGGGTTTCAGGAGGTATGCATTGGCGAGCATGGGAGAAATTATGCACAAGCAAACAGACGGGTGGACTCGGTTTTAGGGATGTCTATGATTTTAACACGGCATTGTTAGCTAAACAATTATGGCGTCTGATGGATGCCCCGGATTCGTTGTTTGCAAGGGTTTTTAAGAGTCGGTATTATCGGAATTCAAATCCGATGGAACCACTCAAATCATACTCTCCATCATATGGGTGGAGGAGTATTACCTCAGCTAGATCTCTGGTTAATAGAGGACTTATTATACGGGTAGGATCAGGGGAGGCTGTTTCCGTTTGGACAGATCCCTGGGTCCCTGCTCAATTCCCGAGACCAGCATTAAGTAGTGGGTCGCCTATGGATCCATCTCTTCAGATTAGACATTTGATCGATCGTCAAACCAACTCATGGTGTTTAGATACGCTTGTTGTGCACTTTGACCCCGAGGACGTTGCGATGATAAGTGCACTACCTATTGGTAATCGGCCAGCGCCGGATGTTCCAGGATGGCATTTTACAAAACAAGGGAAATACACGGTTAGATCTGGTTATCATGTGGCTCGCATGCCAGAGCCGAAGATGTCTATTATTGCGGTAGAAGGACCGGATATTAATCCCCTTTTCCGAAGTGTTTGGCAACTACGATGCCCACCAAAAATCCAACATTTTATCTCGGTCTCAGCAAATTTAAGGAGTCGGGGGTTACACTGTGATGCGGAGTGTTCGAGGTGTGGAGGTTTAGAGGAGACGGTTAACCACACAATGTTTGAATGCCCCCCATCTAGACAAGCGTGGGCTTTAGCGAATATTCCAGTAGGTTCGATTAATTTCCCGACAGACTCGGTATTTGCGAATATGGCTTACTTATTCGGACTACCCGTTGGAAATGGATTGACGGACGTCTATCCTTGGCTACTATGGTATATATGGAAGGCGCGAAATGATAAAGTGTTCAATAATGGGATCCAGAGTCCGATGGAGGTGGTAGGGATTGCAAAGGAGGAGGCAAAGTCATGGCAGGAAGCTCAAGTCGACGGGATGGAGTCACAACATAGGCCGGACTCGGTCACTCCTCGGGTACGGCCACAGGGACAACGACTATCTTCATCTTTTGTAGGGTATAGATGCTTCATTGATGGTTCTTGGAAGGAGACAGATAGGTTTGCAGGTCTAGGTTGGTTCTGCCAACACGCACGGGATGGATCGATATCGATGGGAGCTAGGAATTGTAGACGGAGCCTTTCCCCTCTTCATTCTGAAGTAGAAGCCTTGGTGTGGGCGATGCAATGTATGATCGGGCACAATCACAGAGATGTTGTTTTTCTTACAGATTGTTCGGACTTGGTGGAGATGGTGTCTTCCCCGATTGAGTGGCCGGCGTTTTCTGTATATTTGGATGACATAGCTGTTGACAGGGAGGAATTTTCTTCTTTTTCTTTGTCTCTTATTTCACGAAGCGCTAATATCCAAGCGGATAAGCTGGCACGGCATGCCCGTACCACGCCGCTTTCTGTTCTGTATGTGAACAATTGTCCCTCGAATTGGCTGTGATAAGTCAATCTTTTTGTTATTGTTGACAAAAAAAAAAAAAAATTATATAACCTTTCAATTGACTATTTGTTTCCTCCATTTAACTTCAATTAACACACTATAAAATATAATTATAACTCCTCTGATTTAATTATTTTAGAATTGTAACTTACATCATATTTTATCCTATAAATACTCATTTTTACATCCTCCTCCACCATATTTGATATTCTCAATATTTTCTTTGTTTAATTTTTAATGTTCTTGCATGGGTTGAAAGCTCAATTAAGATATCATTGTAAGAGCTTATTATATATTTGGTTAAAACTTTTGTTTTCAATTATATTTCTTCTTTATTTTATGTACTTCTTCATTTTTTCATTGTTTTTTATACTATTAAATGTATAATAATATTTTATGGCTATAAGGAAATGACTTTATCGATGGGATTCAAAAATATTGATTTTTGACCATCGCACCACAAGAAAATCAAGCTAAATAAACCATTTTCATTGTTTTACTTTATATGTTTTTTTCTTTCTCACATATTCATGTATATTTATTTTATTTTCAAAGTATGTAATTATTTTAACAAAATATTTTTTTGTTATATTCAAACCAATTTGTAAGACACTGAAATAAATAAAATTTTATACACAAATAAAGGCAATTTTTGTGTATATTTATAAGTTTACACACATATTTGGATAAATTTCAACATTTTAGTGGTTGTTTTGATAAAGTTTGAAAATGGGGTAAATTTAAAAAGTGGTATTTTTAAAGGGGTATTTTTTAAATTCTCCCAATATCATTCCTATTTTTATCATTAACAATATTATTGTTTTATCAAAAAATACTTAAAAGTACTAAAGAAAATTACTATCAAAATTGATTAATTGAACAATTAATCAACGAATAAATTCAAAAGATATGGATGTATGCTTCTATTGTATGATTTAAATAAATAACATGTAAAAATGTCATAAGCATTAAAATTTATTTAATCTATTTTTAATAAGTAATAAATAAATTAAAATAATTAAATAAATATACAACAACCCGCGCATATGCGCGGGACATTACCTAGTAATAATTAAAGTTTACGATTATTTATAACATTAAATCAGCAAATAAAGCAAAGAGAAGATAATCAATAAAGAAAGACAAAAGAAGAAAAAGGAACTCTTAACACATGATATTCAAAAAAACATACAATAAAACATGAGACGATGGTATGAATCCATTAACCTTTACAATGACTCAGCGGAGAGCCACAGAGACAGTCGTTGCCGGCAAAAACACTTTCTGGAAACTTAGTCGCTGGAAGTTTTCCACAAAGATGGTTTTGACTCAAGTTTAGTGTCTTCAATCCGGCCACGCTCGCCGACACTTTACCGAACACTAAGTTCGTTGACAAATCAAGTGTCTCAAGCGTCTTCGAGAAACTCAGCTTCCTTAAATCGAATCGGAGTTTATTCCCTGACATCTGAAACTCTCGAAGTTGCACTTCTTCCTTCAAGAACCTCACTGGACTCCCTGAGATCTCGTTGTCCGAAAGATCGATGGAATCGTAGAGATCAGTTTGCCTTGTTTTCCATTCGTCTAAGCTCATCTTGATTCCGCATTTAGCTAGCTTTAAAGAGCTGAGTAACGACGCCGAGGTCACCCATTCTGGGATCTTTTCCATGTGGAAGTTGTTGTACGACAGGTCTAGACTCAAAATGTAATTCTTCACGTTCAAAACAGGGAATGGATCGGTTAGAAGATTGTGAGAGAGATTGATATTAGCTATTTTAGTCAGCTTGGCTAAACTCTTCGGCACGGTTCCGGAAAAATGGTTCTTGGAGAGATCAAGTGTGTCGAGCGATGTGAATCTTGATAAATAGCTTGGTATTGACCCCGAGAGATTGTTCTGACTTAGCTCGAGGAACGCAAGAGCCGGTGCAAGCGATGCGATCGAAGGAGGGAGCTTCCCGGAGAATCCATTGTGGGAAAGGGTAAGGATTCTGAGCTTAGTCATGGATTTGAAAATATCCGGTATTGTTCCAGAGAGACGGTTATCGTCAAGATTCAGATTTGAGAGGAGCTTGAGATTAGTAATCCCTAATGGTATGGTTCCGGATAAGAGATTACCGCCAAGATTGAGGTAGTTTAAACGAGTTAAATTGGATATAGAACTCGGGATTGAACCGCTGAACCGGTTTCCTTTAACGGTTAACGTATCTAAGCGGTTTAGCGCGCCGATGTTAGCTGGGAGAGGACCGGAGAGACGTGAATTCTCGAGATAAACATACTTTAGATGTGGTAATCGAAATAAGAATGAGGGAAATGGTCCAGTGATGTTTTTGAGATTGATAAAGACTACCCCTTCCAAATGTTGGAGTTTAGCCAGTGATGGGGAGATAGTTCCGGAGAGAAAGATATCGGCATCATGGGGCTCTATGCGGATAGTGAGTACGACGACGCGGTTGCCGTTAGAGCAACTAACACCGTCCCAAGAGCAGCAATCAGTTCCTTTCTTCCAGGTGTTTAGAATACCCGAAGGGTCTTCGGTTATAACGGATTTAAAAGCTAAAAGACCTGACTCATCATTGGGATGACAAGTGGCAGCTGTGGTGAGATTTAAACACCGGAGAAAGAACACGACGGTGAAGATGAAGAGATGGTGGAAAGAAGGAGAGTTCATTTTTGTAGTGAGGCTGAAAAAAAGGAATAAGATTGAATAGTTAATAACTGAAAGAGAGACTCGACTCGATCACCTATTAATACGTAAATAGTCAAAGTTGACCCATTTGGACCAATCCATTTGCGCGTGGCGATTATTGTAAAGTGTAAATTGATTAAATGAAAGAATAAAACGTGACAAAAATAAAATCTATATAGGCTATTTCATTATCTTTTTCTTTGTGAACAACTTTTATAAAATAGACTCAATTGTTCACTATCTTATAATTTTATATATGTCAAAAGGTCATTGACATAAAAAGTGCGCTTTTGACATTACATATTTTATTTAGCATTTTGAGGGAGAGATGTAGACGATTGAACGTTATAGGTTACAGTCTAAAACACGATTTGACTTTAGTAACTTTTCTTAAAATGAAAATAATATAATGGGACAACATTACTAAAACTTCGTAGCAAAAAGTATTCTTAGTAGTGACTTTTGTAAAAATGGAACTAATAGAATGGACAACATTTGGCATGTGGGAAATGAAGGACAAATGAATGCAAAAAGTTTTTTAGAACCTATGAGTTCAATATATATATAAATGATGGCAAGGTTCTCACCAATGTTAAAGCAAATTGTTTGCTTTATAAAGGAAAAACCGTGTGACCTTTTATGATAGTGTAAGAAAGACGAAGAGATCATCGAGAAAACTATTAGTCAGCTGATCCGAAACAAGTTGCTTCAGATTACTTCGCTAAGTTGTCGATGGTGACAATATATTACACAAAACGTGTTAACTTAAAAAACATATCCTATAATAGCATATTGACGTAGCTTATTTTTTATGATAGTTTAGGGTTTTCTGATAAGTTGTCACGTGGTTACGTTTGACTAACCACCATCACGGTAATGATTTTCTACACAAGTTTAGTTACTTTTAAACTTGTAAATTAATTGTTTCTTGCTATTCGTAATATCATTTGTCATTTGTGTGGCACTCGCAAGTCGCAACTAATATCGTGTAACATATTATAGATAGATGTATTACTTCTTATGTAAATTATTTATTTATTTATTTATAAATTTAACAAAAAAAATTTAAAATTTATTTATACTGGATTTTTAAAAATACTTTATAGCTTGAAGACATGACTACATGTAAACTCTTTTTTGAGACAAGTTAATGGTAAAATATTTTTGTCTCGTGTTCAGCAGGTAAATTTGGTGCGAATGTTACATTATTTAAGAAAATTTTAGAAATTTTAGTGTCTTGGTATCGTACTGTTACATTGTTTTCACTACAAATCTTACTAGACCTACGTGTTCTAGAAAGTCCAGACAGAAGAAATGTAGGTTCCTTGCCGCTAAGATTTACAAGGAGAAAGTGGAAAACCACAAAGACAGTCATTGTTGGCAAATGCGCTAGCCGGAAACTTTGTTAAGGGAAGCTTTCCACAAAGATGGTTTTGACTCAAGTTTAGCTTTTTCAGTCCAGCCAATGAAGCTGGCACCTTCCCGAACACCAAGTTCCTTGATATATCTAGGATTTTCAACGACTTTGTGAAATTTAGCTTCCCCAAGTCAAACCGGAGTTTGTTCCCCGACATCTGGAACTCGTCCAAAACTCCTGCCTGGTTTATAAACCTCGCTGGATTCCCTGAGATCTCGTTTTCCGAAAGATCGAGGTAATAAAAAGATTTGATGTTCACTGGCAACCAATCGTCTAAGCTCATGTTGATCCCGCATTTAACCAACTTCAAGTTGTAAATGGACGGTGAGGTAGTCACCCATTTCGGAATCGTGTTCAAATGAAAATAATTGTAGGAAAGATCCAGAGAGCCGATGCCGCTGGTAAGGTTTAAGGTAGGGAATGAACCAGTTAGAAGATTGTGAGAGAGTCTCAGATGGAAAATACTTGCTAACTTGGCGAAACCCATTGGCATGACCCCTGAGAATTGATTCCTAGAGAGATCCAACGTTGAAAGGGCCTTGAATCTTGATAAATAGTTAGGGATGGTCCCTGATAAATTGTTCTGGCTTAGATCGAGGTACGTGAGAGTGGGTGCGAGGGAAGCAATCGACAGAGGAAGTGTCCCGGAGAATCTGTTGCGACCGAGATCGAGAGCTCGTAGCTCCTTCATAGATTTGAAAACATCTGGGATGGTGCCTGTGAGGCGGTTGCCTCCTAGACTGAGCCAAGTTAAGCGAGTCAAATTCGATATCGAGCTCGGGATTGGACCGGTGAACCTACTATTATCAAGAGTGAGATCTCCGATCTTTAGTGTGCCGATGTTGGCAGGAATGGGACCAGAGAGAAGAGTATCTGAAATGCGAATTAAGTTTAGCTTTGGTAATTTGAAAAGGAACTGGGGGAAAGATCCAGTGAGCTTGAGATAGGTAAAGGAAACAGCCTCAAGGTGCTCAAGTTTGGCCAGCGATGGTGAGATAGTTCCCCAGAGAGTGCCTCGGCCAAGAGACGTGTCTCCTCCGAATATTCTTAGTTCAGTGACGCGGTCGTCGGTGATGCAAATGATACCAAACCAGGAGCAGCAGTTAGTTCCTTTCTTCCAATTGCTGAGCAAGCCCAAAGGATCTCGGGTTATACCCGCTTTGAAAGCTAAAAGACCTGCCTCATCATCAGGATGACATGTGGTAGCTCCGGTCGAAGTTAAACAACCGAGAGCGATAACAGCAGCAAAAAAGATAGTGTAAGAGAAAGAGTTCATGGTTTGTGTTTGTGGAGACGTAGAGAACAACTCGAAGCTATTAATAGAAAGGAGAGAGTATAATTATTTTTTTCTTTTTCAAAATCACGTTTCAAAATCAATAAGTTGACGGATTTTGACTAAAACCACGTCTTATAAACATAATGCTCCAAATTATCAATTCCCACTATAGGCTTAAAAACACTATCTCACTCAAGCGTATTATTTCTAAATACTCTTTACTCCGCACTCCCATGGATCACATGTGCTTTTTCTTTGTTTTATTTTTTAATTTTCTCAACTTGTTTGAATCTGAAGTCTACAAACATGTGTTTATATACCCAAGACACGTGAGATTTTTGTGAATCTAAATCGTATCATAGTACTGTAAATATATAATAAAAAATCAGTGATATAGCACTAGCAGGTCGCCAAGTGCATGCGTAGATATTTTAATTAAAATTTTCTTTTACGTAACTACTTTATCATTTATTGTTTTCAATAATTTATCTGGTCTTGTGTACATAAGTGGCCCTTCGGGTACTCGTTCGGGTTCAGGTCGGGTATTTCAAATTTTCGTGTTTTCGGGTTTAGAGATATATAACCTGTGTGGGTATTTCTAGATTTCGGATTCGGATCTGATGCGGACATCAGAACTATATCAAACCGGGAGCACACCAAACCAATCGGTTCACACACCAAACCGGTTTACATGGAGAATTTTGGAGAATCTTTGCCTAAATGGAGTTCTGATCAAGTACAAGACGAATGGTTAATTATTCACCATGATATTAACCCTAAGAAGTGCGACAGTTCAAGAGGGATCAAAAATCAGCAAGTCAAATCAGCTTATTATTGGGATATGACTGTTGCACTCTTTTTCCCTTATCTAGGGATTGTCCCAATTGGTTTACCTAGAAAGGTTTTTAATGAGACAACACCAAGTCATCAAGGAATCATTCACCATCCATATGATTCAAAGATGATAGCTGATGTACATTCTGATCTACTCGCGGACAAGCATGCTGAACTACTCGCTGACAAGCATGCTGAACTACTCGCTGACCGACTGCCTGAACTACTCGCTGACCGACTGCCTGAACTACTCGCTGACCGACTGCCTGAACTACATCAGATTGCGAGCTTTGAGGATTTGAAGACTTTTAACACTTGGATCAGCCATGAAGGGAGTCCACACATTCATTTGATTCACCAAAAGGCCCCAGCCCATGGAGAACAGCCCAAGAGAAGACCCAAGTCTAAACCACCCTTTTAATCAAGGCGATTGATCTACTTGGAGCAAGATAAGGAAAATCTCCTTTACCTTCATATGCACGTGTCTCAAAGCTACATATGGAAACCAGGAGAACCTCTAAAGCCACCAGAGAATATTTGGAGTATATTCACACACAATAATAGCCATTGGATCAGGTGGATTCAATCATATTAGTACTCGCCTTTTCCGGACTCGATTGTCATCAAGGCACAACGACTCTTGCCTATTAAGTTCATGTGTGTGATACAGCATCTCCAAGTGCATAAGAAGCTTCCAAGACGTCACTATTACCTTCCCAAGTTGACGAGATACAAGGCACACCTCACTTGCCTTATTTGGACCGATTCTACACTCAATGGTCCAACATCCATATTTTCATTAATTGTTGCGATTTGTATCTTCTTTATAGGTTTAGAACGTGTCTACTCAGCCTATATAAGCTGATCATTAGTCTCATTGTAAAAACACCCTTGATCAATTTAAAGTAATAGAAAGTATTCTTCTTGTCAAAGTTTGAGTCTTTGTCAATCTTCTTCTTTAGTTCTTTATGAGTGAGTCACTTAGTTCTTTAGAAACCTACGGATTAAGTTTGTTGTGTGATTCAACAACCTTCATTCGTCCATTGATCGAGTGAGTCGATTATCCCACTGATTGAGCGAGTCAATCACCTGAACTATTCCCTAAACCACCCACTGATTCACGAGAGAGTGCTTCTGGCCAGCTCGTGAATTCCACCTTCCGCAAGCTAAGCTTGGAATCTCTTGATCATCAAGTGATCTAAAGTTTGGAGTGATTTCAATCTTGCATCATCTGGTATCAGAGCTTTAAAAGCTCCTATCCCCAAGGTTGTATCTTTTCAACCTATATTTGTTTTTCTGTTTTTCTTATTATTTCTATTTTATATATATCTATAAAAAAAATCAAATAAATTTTTATTCCTTGCTTTAATCTTGTTATTTGCTTCAGTATTTCATTAACAAAAAAAAAATTATTTTAATTCATTTTCTTATTTATTTCGGATTTATTAAAAGAAAAGCCATAAAAATCATATTTTTTGTTATTCTAAATTAATTTTTGTATTTTATTTTTTATAAATCCAGAAAATAAAATAAAAACTGAATTTTTTTCCTTTTTGCTATTTGAATTTTTTGGATTTACCAAAAAAAAATTAAAAGAAAATATTCATTTCTATTTTTTTAAAATATTTTCCTTATTTGTTGATTTACTTTTTGATACATCTTTATTTTGCTTGTGCAAGATTCTTCTTTCACGAAAACCAGAGCAAATATGGAGTTTATTGAGTTTTTCTTAGATGAAGAACTTCAAGGAGAAGAGCCCTATCAAGTCACGTCGGATGAGGAAGACAACTATGGAACGATCTCGTGGCGGCGAGATGATAGTTCAGCTTCTGATTCAGGAGATGAACCAGACCATGAAGCACCAGAACCAGAACCGCCTGACTTATAAAACCGCAATAAAGGCTATTCTAAACCATGGATTAAATTTAGTGATAATTTTTCCAGCCATGGTTCAAAATCTCCATTGACCCAAATTATGTCTTTTTCAGAACAAGATGATTATCTTAAGCGAAAAGAAGACATGGAGTATAAAAAGGCAACAACAAAGGGCAACCAGTATCGACGTCCTCCAAGGCGTGAAGATCTTGAATTTTGGTTTTCTTGAATTTTGAAAATCTTGCCACATTAACCCGGTTCTGTTATCAGTTTTTTGGTTAATTTGATAACCGAAATTTAGAGTTTATAAAATATGGATTTTCCGGTTATTTAAGGATAATTTCGGGTTTTTCTGGTTTTTCGGTTTTATATCAATTTTTTTTTGTTATTTCAGATTTGGTTATTTCGGAGAGTTAGGTTATTTTAGGGGTGAATATCAGTTTTTTTAAAAGGTTAAAAAAAATCAGTTAACATTAACTGATAACCAAACCAAAGTAACCGAAATAATTCGTTTCCAAATTATTTTTCTTTTTCTACCAATCGGTTTACACCTAATAACCGTACCAGAAGCGAACTCCCAAAATTTTGGTTCGGTTCGGTTTGGTGTTTTAACCTAGAGCTAGTTTTTTTTTCTTTTCCAACTTTAAACATCAAGTAAGCCAATTCAGTTACTACACAGTAAGACTTTTATTACTAAAAATGTGCTAGGTTTTAGTTCAATAGTCACAACTTTACAAGTAATATCACCAATTTATACCTTCAACATTAATCAGAATCGCCAACCGGAAGCCAGTCACTGGAATCACCTTCGGAGTCCTTGCTATGTCCAGCTTGACTCTTGCTGAGCTGAACCCAGCTTGAACCGCTTGCGTTTGATGCTGGTCGTTTCAGTGTACTCTTGTTGGAACTTGGCTTCTCTGAGAGGTCGTCTACATCTAAATCACTAAAGGAGATTACTTCTTCATCTCTGAAACTCCTTCGTCTTTCTTCAGATGATTCATCACTTGTCTCTCTCTGTTCAATTTTTAGTGTCTCTATATTGTCGATGACTCCCTCCACGGTTTTTGTTGCCTTACTGCTGCTGCCTTCTTCAGGAGTTTCGTGACCAACAGAGCTCTTGCTTGACCCTGTCTCTTTGTTTTGCAGCTTTAGTAAAAGTTGATCCCTTGTTTCAAATACCTGTGGCCACGCAATATAGTTATCAAAGCTTCAGAAAAGGGTACCATAGTGACATGTAAAAAATGTAGAGCAAATAAAAAACAAAGAACCATCCAATTTCAAAAGCATCAGACAAATACTTAATGAGTGTACAGTTTTTCCAGAGGCTAAACTTGTTCTTAGTGCAATCTGTTGAAGGAGTCATTATATCATAGCCTTTTTTTACATCTTCAGAAAATTACGAATTAAAACATAGTATCAGATACTGAACATTTAGCAGCATGCATGTCCAGTATAGAGCCTTACCTTGCAGGTTGCTAAGAGTTCAAAATCATGTCCATTCAGTCTCGGCATCAGCAAAATAAAATAAATCAGCCAGAAGTGTTCATCATCCATGTAACTGCTAACTTCATTCTTCACAGCTACAAGGTCAGGAACCAGATGTTCAATGGCTGATGCATGTGCCTTCTGAGCCTCAGACAATTCGAATTCTGCAATGCGGACACAAAACGTCAAAGATTAACTTCAGCACAATTCAGTAGGCAAAATTATAAACCACCAATGCTTTTCTACTGGAAGTGCTTAGACAGTATTTCCAAGCAAACTTTGCCTATTAACTAGGTTGTACAGCAAGAATATAGGTTCTTATGTGTAAGTGCTACAAAATTATTTTCAAGCTAATGAAGCATGTGTACTAAGTTGTACAGAATGAATATATGCTTTTCGAAATAAAAAACAAAGATTTAAAGTGGCAAATGGATATGTGATCCACAGACAGTAATAGGAAGCATGAGATCCTAAAGATCTGGGATTGAAGAAATGTATCCCAAGAGAAGACTGCTGAACCGGTCAAGCCTAATCTTAATCCCTCTAGAGATCCATCTAAAGAACAGGGTCGTCTAAAACCAATCAATAGTAGAAACAATCAAAAGGGTATCCAAAAAGGTCTATAATATAACACAACAAGAGGGGAAGACTGAAGCATAACCATGTTTGGCAACTGAAAAACGTCAACTATCTTTTCAAGCACAATCACGTTTCCCCTGTAAGTTCTTTGACAATATCTCAAGCTAACCAAGATTATATACTGGATTGTACAGGACAAAGATATGCGGAAAAAAAAAAGATTTAAAATCTGAGACAAAAGTGACAAATGGAAATGAGATCTGCAGAGATAATAGGAAGTTAGAGATCCTAAGTCCCAGGCTTAGATTAATATAACCCACAAGAACACTGTTGGACGGTCTATCCTAAATCTAGAACCCCACAAGAAACCCTCTAAAACAATGAATACTACAACAAATCAACTGTAGAAACAACCAATCTTTCCCTAACAAACACGATAAGAAATCATAACTAATCTTCAGCAAAATTCACCAACTAAAACTTTCCACAGCGTTGTTTGGAAAAAAACGAAACCACTGATGTAATTTCCTCTAACTGCTTTCACAATACTTCCAAGCTAAACAAAGCCTTTAAACTAAGTTGCACAGAACAAAGATATATACCACTAAAAGTGAAAACAAAACAACAAAAATTTAAGCTCTGACACAATAAGTGGCATTAAAAATTGTGATCTACTAAGATAATTGGCAACTAAAATCCTAAAGACCCAGGCTTGTTCCCAAGAGTAAGTCAACTATATCAATGCAGCTTAACATGTTATGATTCCTATACCAAACTAAACAGATTCAGTTCTTCATGGAGATGATTACCCGTATTGAGTGACAATGGAAAATCTGTCCAGCAACCTGGTCTCGTAGCGATTTTAATCGCGAAATCGACAACTTCTTCAGAAATCCCAGGAACTTGATCCAAACCCTCAACCTCAAACACAGATCTTTTACTACTGCTATTACTTTTACTAGGGAACTGAAGCAAATTCGATGCGAAATTTGTGAAATTCCCACGAATCTCAGCCAGATCGTTGCGGATCCCGACGAGTGCTTGCTGAGTTGGTGAATCAGATGAACGGTGGCGTTCTTCTACAGGAGAAGCAGACGGAGGCGGTGCTAAGAAAGCTGCAACGCCGCGGAGTAAGGAAGATAGATCTTCTTTAACACCGCCGTGAGTAGTGGTGGGAGAAGAAGGTTCGGGATCGTCTTCATCGCCGCGAGATTTGAAGAGCCACGACATTGTTTTACGAGTGACGAAGGTTAAAAAATTGGGGTTTTCAGGTTTTGTGCCAATTTCAAAACAAATACAGATTTTTGGGGTTAGGAAGAGAGAACGGTGCGTTTTGGAAGGTATCGATTTGATAATTTTTGATAGGCCTGGGCATTTGGATATCGGATCGGGTTCGGTTCGGATTTTTCGGTTTTCGGATTTTTTGGATATTGATTTTAACATCCATTCGGATATTTATAAAATTCGGTTCGGTTTCGGTTCGGATAATTCGAATTTCGGTTCGGTTTGGATATAATTGTGATAATTAAATTTTAACCAAAAATTTATCGGATTCGGTTTTATTCGGATATTTTTTAATCCAATTATACTCAAATAATCCATACTATCCAAATATAAAAAAATAAATAGAAATGAGGCAAATGACAAGTTCAAAGAACCAACTAACATAATACCATACTAATATATAAAACTGAAGCATTAATTCCTAATGAAAAAGTAGCAAAATTCAGTAACATCCTAAATCAAATTGAAAATAATTTTTCAAAAATTTCAAGACCATGAGAGGAGGAAACTCAAGCTTCTACCCATCTATAATCAAGATATGGCAAAAAACGATATTTAAAGTATATGCGGTTAATGTATATATCTTTAAGATATTAGAGTATATATTGTATATATCCTAAATATATTAAAGTATATATTATAAGTTTAGTTTTATATGGATATCTATTGGATATCGGTTCGGATCGGGTTTAATCCGATATCCAAAAATAATGAAAGCTAACAACCATTCGGTTATTTTCCCAATATCGGTTCGGTTTTAATCCAATTTTTTCGGTTCGGTTCGGTTCGGATTTTCGGATTCGAATTTTATGCCCAGGCCTAATTTTTGACATGATTATGGTGAAATTTATTTTATTTTATTTTACTTATCCAAAATTGTATACTGTATTAGTTATTTTTTTTTTTGTAATGGAAGGATAAATATAAAAGGAATTTTTTTTGGTAGAAAAATGTAAATGGAGTTTGAAAAGAGTATATTAAAATTGTGGGTTATTGAAATTATCATTAGATAACTAGTAACCTAAATATGATATTATTCTTAAATTTTGAAATAGTTTTCTTCTTTAAGTTTAAGAGAGAAACGAGGATGATTGGTGAATAAAAAATTTAGTATGTATTTTACTACAATAAAAACATGAGTAAAATCGAATGAGAACCAAAACTCTGATTAGATTGTCTCGGTGGATTATCTTTTGTGAGATGATTATTTTCTTGTTTTCGGTTTCATTGCAATGTACCAAAGCTTATGTATGCCTCTTTAATAATGTATTGACTCAATTAGTTAGTTTTCTTTCAGTTTTTTTTTTCTGATCGCTTTTGTACCTATTTTAATATCATTAGAGCAGTCAATTGGTCCATCCACAGACTATTGGACGTGTCCAGATGGACAAGTATATTTATGGGCTATATCTGGACGGTCCATAATGGACATGGGTCTAAAATGTGTCCATGTCCAATACCCATGGACAACCTATTTTCATTTTTATTATTTTTCTTCATAAAATCTTGATTCAAAGATGAATTTTTTATTTTCTATACTATTACTTTTTATTGAGACACTAATCATGATAATCTAAAAATTAACCTATTAAGTAATTTTACTTTTAATTTTCTATACTATACTATTACTTTATATATAGTAATAAGAATTAATAGTAATAAATATCCAGAAAGCGTGAAACCCAAGGAGCCGCTCCTTCCGCTTCTTCCTCCAACGGTGTTCCTCCGGCAAGTTCCTCTTCTGATCGGTGATTACTGCTAAGGTGAGACCTCTCCTTGGTGAATCTCGTTTCCGGCGACAAAACCGTTTTCCACACTTGATGTCTTCCTTTCTGTCAATTTCGAGCCATTCTTGCCACTTACCGATGTCTTCGGTTGTTTTCCTTGCTCGTGCTCCACCACCAGAGCCTCTGTCTCCGCCGACTCCACCGGAACCTCCAGATCCACCAGACCTTCAAATATGCTAGTTCTTTACAAATCTTCTTATCCAATCGTTGATTTCTTCTTCCTTCAAAGCGTATGAATCGCTCATCCTCCACCTCTCCTCCGTTTTTTCTGCCGCCAACGAGGTTCTCTCTCCTTCCAACAAAATCTCCCCTTCTCGTTGGGGTGTTGCTTCCCAATGAGTCTCTCTTTGTAATCTGGTTTGAAGAGCGTGATACTTGGCTTTGTACGTCTTCTTCAACCACGGCTGATGCCCACATCTTCAACCCACGTACGCGCTTGGTCTTCGCCCACTAATTCTTCTGAGTTGGGAGTGTTTTGGAGGCTTGTTGAGTTTGTGGATCTGGTTTTGTGGATCTCAAAGGTAGTAGCTTATTCTGTTTTGATGAGCTTAGATACTTTTGTGTCTTCTTTAATGCTCTCTTGCAGCACCCTTATCGCTTTGATGCGTTCATTTACCGCAATATGCAGATTCTATCTCGATTTGTCTATTGTCTCACGGCAACTTAGACAGAGATCTTTGAGCAATTTCAATCGGCCATTTAAGCAGGTTCATTGGGGCTTTCAAAGCTCTCATCTCTCCTTTACGGAGCTTATTATCCTCCTAACTACTTCACTTGTGTTTGGTGGTAGTGTTTTATGGAACATTGCTTTTAAAACTGATATGCTTAATGGAGAAGCGGAAATTGTTGTTCACGGCTGTTTTTGTTCAGCTTTTGCTGGCAGTTTGGCGTTAACTACTCTGGAGGCTCTATTTCCTCCTCTTTGTGGTCTCGATCTCTTTGTATTCCCAACTGCAGATTTCACTCGAAGCTCATCACATCACATTAACCATCATGATTGATTACAAGGTTATTTAACCTGATAACTTAACCGAAGTAAAGTATATGCGGGATCGATCACAAGGAGCAATGGTACACTAATGACTTGCGAGACTCGTTGTTGTTTGATTTTCAGTTTTGTAAATAAAAAATGCAAATAAACAGAAATTTAAACTTATGAATTAAAGCATTGGGCAGCAGGGTATTTTCAGAGAATCAATCAATAACGAATAAAAGCAATAAGGAATTTAAACATGAAGAATCGTTCTTGAACATGAACAGAAGTTTAGACTAATTCTCTCTCAAGACATTAATCACTAAATTAAACTATTCAATTACTGAACTCTCATTTGTAATTTCCTAGCCAAATTCGCATTATCAAACATGTTCATTTGATTCACAAAGCATTCTAACATCAACTCTCGCAGGTTAGAAATACAATGCTCAATTTACATTCATTCATGCATTTTATCGAACATCTCTGAAACACATAAAAGCCTAAGTTCTAAAATAGGGTGATCAATCCTATTCTAGCATTGAGAACATGCAAATTGATGAACCTAAAGAATAAGAATTCCCTAAGACATCTAATCCATCAAATCATTGAATTCTCCTACTTGGAACCCTAAAACCCAATTAAGAGACTACTCAGACATAACATTTGAAACAAAGAAAATAGATTTTGAAGGAAACATGATTCAATAGATTAGAATAAGAAAAAGGTGTAGAAATCTTCTCCAAATTGTCAAAGAGGATCAATCTCAATCTCTATCGTAGAATGAAAAACAGGTCTTTTTGGGTTTTAATATCCATTACAGAAGAAAATAGCAATTAGTTCCGGTTAAGGAAACCGAATTTGGTAGGGACCGATCAGTCTGAAAGATGGACCGATCGGTCGTTCTGCTCCTGGTCTTGTCCGGGTAAATGGATCGATTGGTCCAAGGTGAGGACCGATCGATCTCCGTGCTCTGATCAGGTCCGGACGAGTGGATCGATCGATCATTGCGCTCCTAGAATGTGTCGTCCGTTTGGACCGATCGGTCTGGTGATGGAACGATCGGTCCATGCTCTGCATTAGCTAAAGTTGCACTTCCTTGCCAGAAACTAGTCCAAAACGCGCCAATTCCGCTCCAACCGCTTAGTTCCTGCTCAAGACTCAAAACACGACTCGAAAGACACGAAAGACGGACTAAAAAATGAAAAACGACTCAAAATAGATATAAAAGAAAGGGTGAAAGACTCTAAAAACACTGTATATCAACTCCCCCGACTTAGATTCTTGCTTGCCCTCAAGCAAAACAAAAATCTTAACCAAGAGAAGAGGTTTGAAAACGCGAGAATTCTCATATTCTTTTGGGATCATGCTCTTAATCAATTGCCTGCAAACCACTATCACAAAGATCATATCAAACCGTACAATAATGTACTTCACCATGACATCATGAGACCCCTAAATCACAAAGAACTTCAGAATCAGATAACTTAAGCTTATAACATTCATTAGCAGTTTCGTGCACTCTCACAAAGGGGATATCGAACACGTTATGGTCTAGGTGTAAAGGCTTTCTTAGGTGGCTCAATGTTTAAGGTTTAGCAGTAATACGAACGGATACAAACATTATGAAAAATCACTATGAGACACAGCCCAATTGGGAGGTACATAACTTCCCTCTAACTCGGATCATCCTAACCACATCAAATCTCAAGGAAAAATCATATCACCTTAACCAAATCAAACCCCAGACAAATCATAAGTATCATAAATGCTTTTCAAATAAAACCAAAGACATAACAACTTTTCCAGTTCCATTCTTTCTCCTTTCCCGTTCTTTTCTCTTTTTAATTATTTTTTTCTTTTTTTTTTAGTTTTTTTTGGACGGGGGAGTGGAACCGGTTCTCGTCTCACAAACTGCATCAACAAAACTCAATCATGATCGCTCATAGCACATGCTCATGAATATAACAATATAACCACAAGAACTCAATGTCAATCATCCCAAACAACTACAATTACAATCCTAATTAAAAGAAAGCTATGTCGGTCTGTATACTCCATAGTTTTTGCACATGAATGCACATGATGACAATGACATAAGAATGCATGTGGTATGAAGCATGGATAGGGCTAAAGGTGTGGTACTAGAATAAAGATGAGTCTAGCCATTCGGAGTTTACAAAGAGTGGTAAAATGACGCGGATTAAACTCTGAA